AGAAGAAATAACTCTATTATGAAGATAAATTCTACCATCAATGAGATTTAAGATCATCAATGGAAAAGTGAATGAAAAACTGCCATCAAAGAAAAGAAAAGAAAGGCAAACAGTTAATAATTACCCATAAAGATAGACAATTTTGACTACTCTATTCCTCAACCGCCACAACTACCCACAACTAAGGACATACTCAAAGTCATAATTGGAAAGATAAGTGTAATTAATAACAATATCGACTTCATAACTCGTCACTTCATCCTAGACCAAACACAACTACCACAAGACATGTTTCTTTGATGATGATTTCGATAACAAATAGTCTCATCTAGATGTCTAAGTGTGTTTAAGTTTAAGTTATTTCCCATTTTCCGAACTTTTCGATTCCTTCATTTCCATTTTTATACTTTGAATTCCTAGTAATTTCTATTAATGAATAAAACACTGTTTTTCTTTTTCCTAAATGTTTACTTGCACATGATAGCATATTTGAATTTATTACAATGCATCTTTACCCTCCTTTTTGATTTCGACAAAGGAGGAGAAGTAGAGTATACTCTCTACTTAATTAAGAGGGAGTTTAATCACTCTAAACTAATACCTATTATTTCTTTTGCCTACTCCCTGAGAGATGCGTTGTTAGCATAAAAAATGGAGAGAATGTGGAACCTTGTTTTGTAGGTTATAAAATATGCTTTTGATGATGATAATAAAATATGAATAAACCTCTAATAATGACAATAAGACTTTAAGGACAACCAAAGTGCAATTAAAGATGAAACCATATCATTAACGTTTGATGGACTTGACTATCTGATTATGACAATAGAGATAAAGCCTCATATCTAACTCAAGTAATTGTCTACAAAGATAAAGCATCTGACAAGTCTTGAAGTATATGAAAGTATGAAAGCCCTTCCTCGATACGTTTGACCAAATACATTGTAAAAGCATAAGGGAATTCTCATAAAAGTGCATGGCTAAATCACACAAACACACACATAAAAAGTTTTCAAACTTATTTTCTTAAGTAATGTTTTTCAAAAATGTCTGGTTTAGCGGTAAAACTGTTGAGACTAAGCCACTGGATTAACTTGACTTGCACATATCAAATAAAAATCGCCACCATGCTTTATTGTTTCCAAAGGAATGGGAAAAGAGCGAATAACCCAAAAAGAGGGGGAGAGAATCTAAGTTCGGGGGTTGGTTATGCAAAGGGAAGGTATTAGCATCCTAAACATCTATGGTACTCCGCAAGAACCTCTTTGAAAATTTGTGTATTTTGGCTATAAGTGTTGTATACAAAAATAGATTGTGGAGGTGAGAAAAGAAATATATTTTTTTTACAATTTTTGCACCCACCGCAGTTGCGAACAATTATTGCCTATGTACCACCTTCTGTTTAATAGGGGATCAGTGTACTCGTAGTTCACCTTTAAAAATTTTAAAACACAAGTGTGTTGGTTAATTTTAAGAGACGAGACATCATCGTCGTATCTGAGTGGAAGAACATACTTACTACCCACGATTATGAGAAAGGAGAATTTGAATCATCTCAAAGTGGAGGATATAGCTTGGATTTTAAATCAACAAAGCTTCACTCAACACCCAAGTAAAAAATGTCTCACTTTACTATATATTGTAGAAGTATAGTAGCTCGCATCACTACAAGGATTGACAAGAATCTAATCTTTTGAGAAAATTTTAAGATAAAAAGCCAAAATGGAAAAAAATGGTTTGAATGAGATTGATTGACTTTTAATCTTCTCATAAAAAATGTCAAAGTATTACTAAGTTGTTTAACATTTAATTAAGAAAATATATTGAAAATGCATGGACCTAAGTCCAAGTTTATTGTGAAAGAGATTCAAGTTTGGAAAACAAGAATAGTTTTGAAAATGAGGGAGAATATTTTTTGAAATTAAAGAAGATGAGAGGAGATGAAGGGACTATCCTAAAGCATAAGGTAAAAGCTAGGGAAAAGAAGCGTCTAACCAACAAGAAGCCAACAATTGACACAATGAATCAATGTAGAATTCCCATCCTTTGGATTGAAACCAAGCAAGAAAAGATGATAAACCTCTAAAGAATACCACACTTCAAATGCATTAAGTCTTAACAAAAATTAGGCAGAGTAACGGCTGTATACAGATGAATTCTCAATCACAGACAAAACATAGAGTCAGAATAACCTGCACACAAAGAAAACAAACAACCCAATGTCTCAGGGTAAACCCCAAGAACTCTGGACAAAATAACAATAGAAGTCACAAGGTCCTGAGGGTGGTCAAGATCTCTACTCCTAAGTCCAAGAAGTCCATAACTCCATCACGCCATAGATAGTAACCAAATAGTCCAAGCAACCTTAAAGCTTTTTATTGTTCAAGTTGGTTATTAATTATCTTCAAAAATAAAATGAAAGCTCCAGTGAGCAAAGATGAAAATAGCATGAAATGGAAATTCTAAAATAAATGGTGCGTAAAAGTAAAGGCGTAAAGTAAAAGCATGAAAATAAAAGTCAATTGTTAATGAGTTAGAAATTAGAGGTTAGTTGAATGACCATCTTGAAACTTGCATTTGAAAACTAATTAGAAGATTGATAAAATAAAAGCCTCTCAATAACAAGTTTCATTTTCTTTTTTTCAAGTATATAATTCATTTTAAATTCTCGAGGCAACAATCAAATGATCAACGATGTTTAAATGATTCACTTAGACCAAATTTTATGAAAGTTCATTAGAGGATTGATAAGACCAAAGCCTTCTAATAATAAACCTCGAGGTTATTGCATCAAAGGTTTCAAATTAAACATACTTGGGCTTTCAAACATAGGTTTGGGCCACAAATGATCATTTCTCGAATTGAGACAAAATTTAGGCCTATGTTAAGCAATCGTAAGTGGACTTATGTAGAAGTCGCACCTATTTTGAGGTTGGTCAATAACAATCTATGTACCATATGTTTGGAGAAATGATATGTAAATCATCCTCTAACAACATGTAGCACAAGCAATAATAAAAAAGGGAGAAGATGAACAAGAATTAAATTACATATTTGAACCAAAGAATTTAATCAAGCTATCATTAAAATCATTCATCCATTTTGGTGGAGTTAAACTCAACACCCAAGATCCAATGATGTTAATAAAACTCATGATTAAAATTCACATAGTTCAAGATCATCCAGAATATATCCAAAAATAAAATTGCATTTAACAATCAAAATAGAATGAGAAAATTGGTTTTTTAAATTGTTTTTAAATGAAAATAAAAGGCAAAATAACAAACTATATTCAAAATATCAAAGAAAAATTAAAATAAATCATATGAAAGTCAAAAATGATCTCAAATATTTTTACAAAATTTTTGGTAATTTTTGAAAACCAAAAAGTATTTTTAAGCTAATTAAAATCACTCAAACAAGTGAAAAATAATTAAAAATAGCGAAAAATCGAAATTAAATTCTAGAAAAAATACACTAAGTCAGAAATGAGATAAATGAATTTTGTGAATTTTTTCAGAATTTTGGACGAAAATTGAATTTAAAATAAATTTTTGAAGTGAAAAACGAATAAAATAAAATAAAGTAAAGAAGTTTAAACAGAAATAATGTCAACCTTTAGATCTAGTCAACTCAGGTGAAGTAGTTGCATCCAAAGGTCCAGATCTGTGGTTTATGATAATATTGTGAGAATGCAGGCATGGAATCAAATTGCTCATCATCTTCTTCGGTGAAGACAAGTGGCACCGGAGCCACTTGTCACTCATTGACTGGCCGTGCAAATTCCAACGAGATAAGGGAGGAGAAGAAACAAATAACAACACAGCAAGATGTTGTCACGTTGGAATAACTAACACCATCAATTTTTGTTTCATTTTTTTATAAACTTCCTCTCTCTTCAAATAACATCATCATCTTTCTCTTCTTTACAAACAACAAAAACAAATAATGAAAACAGAGGAAAAGAAGAACAACGCGGTGGTTTGCGACAAAAGCAATGAAGGTCACAGTGGTGACCGACCGGAGTTCGCGGCGGCGGCGCCATGACTTTCTCAGAACGTAATTTTTTTATATTAAAAGCTTCGGCTCTTCGTCCTCTTTCCAAAGCTGGGATAATTGTTTTAAGAAAATCAAAGGTTTGATCAAGACCTACAAATGAATTTCAGAATTATCTTGTTCAAAAACCATATCAATAGTCACAGAAGTGTAAAAGGAAGGGAAGATTTGGTCTTAGGAAGAAGAAAGCAACCTTTGGAAACAAAGAGAAGAAGAACAGTGGTCTGAGGAGGTATTTTGTCACGGTGGTTGCAATTTTCGGCGCGGTGGTTGTGATTTCCAGTCTCTTTCGGGTGAGATCGTTCTTATCTCTTCTTGCAAACTTTTTCTCTTCTCTTTCTCTGTAATCAGAACTTGCAATTTCTTGAAAAAAAACTTCTGAAGAGTTTGCATTTTTTTGGAAAATAATGATGAAATCGTTTAGGGTTTAGCTTGATAGCTTCTCTGTTTTTTGTTGGCTTGATAGCTCTATGTACGATTCTGTGATGGTTTTTTCTGATATAAGGTGATGATGGAAATTTTTTTAGGGTTTTCTGTGATTATGAGATGTGCAGCTTTTTTTTCTCTAATATTTGTGAACAGTTTTCTCTTTTTTGAATGCAATTGAATGGTTTTATACTCATAGGGGATTCGATTTTGCTGTGTATTTGGACTCTGAGTTTCTTTGACAAACTTGCTTGCGTTTTTCCTTTGCTTTGATGTTGGGCCTGAATTCATATGTTGAAAGTTTGGTACAGGTCTTTGTCATTGTTCGTGGATCTTTGTGGGCTCTGATACGTTTGTACTTTTTGATATGCTTCAGACTTGTTTCCATTTTTGATTTTGTCATAATTTCATGATGTACTGCTTTGGGCTGAGTTGTGATATTTCTGTATTATCCTCTGTTGCTTCAGTTTGTACTTCTTTACTCTTTGTACCTCCTTTTGTGAACCAAAAACAAATGTTTATTTGTGATTTGCAATAGGAGTTATAGGCCTATGATTAAACCCAAAATTCTTATTATTGTGTGAGAAAAAAGAATGAGGCCTTTTTGTTGATTTTGCTATTGGGATGGAGCTGTGATTCCTGACTTTATTTCTTTCTACTGGATGATTTGATATTGTTTCTGAACTCGTATTTGTGTACCAAATTTCTTTTTCAAAATATATTGTGAGCCATATTCGTTTATGATTTGCAGTAGACAGAATTAGGCCCATGATTGAATTATTGAAACTCTGATTATGTGAAACAAAACTGTTTATGAGGCTTTGGTTGTTGGGCTTTACGATTTATGACTGAATAACCCTCAATTCTGATTCCCGTCACAACTCTAATGATGAAATTGAAAAGATACATTTCTTTGGAAATTTTTGTTGATGTTTGAGTTTTTTTTTTGTTCTAACCACTTCTTCTTTCTTTGTTTCATGTGTGGGAACAATGATGAGGACGGCAAGACAAGAAGAAGAAGAACCTGTGGCTTAACAATAAGTTTGAAAGGAGATGACAACTTGAAGTTTGGAGAAACTCTTTTGTAGTTTATGGAAATTTTGCATGTATTAGGCCATAGGAATTTTGAAATTCTTGAATTCAAGTAGTATAAACTTGTAACATTCTTTTTTTGTAATTGGCTTGTAGGAAACTTCAACATTCTTGTATTTGGTAAATTGTAGTTACAACTTGAATAATTTTTTATGGATTTTGAATGACCCATGAGAGAAGTTTGAAGGGATGATGAATGAAAAAAAACTTGGAATTTAGGATTGAATGATTTGTCTTGAAAATTTTGTCCAAAGAAACTCTTGAATTGGTTTGTGTGGCATAGATAGGAAACTTGTGATATTCATGTGATATGATGGAAATTAGAATACTCTTATAAATATTTCTTCAAGTGATGGAGATTAAAGAAACTTTCCTTCCATCTTTTGAACTTTTCAATTCTTGGCGCAAAAATCTTTAAGTTCTAAGTGACATGAATTCAAATAAATGAATCTTTCAATTTGAAACAAGTAGACTTAGGATTTGGATTTTGAGAACATCCTGAACCAAATGCCTTAAGAATTTTGATCGAAAGTTCAATTTTAATTCAATAATTATTAATGCTTCAACATAAATTCGTATCATAAGCAACAAACAATCAATGAATTTTTAAACTCAAAACTTTATATCATAGCTCTTGACTTGAATGACCATCAGAATAATCTTTTGAAGAAGAAAGTATGGCCACATAAATTGCAAATCAAGTGATTAGGAAACTTTTAAGCCCAAAAAAACGACCTATAAAGTTTTTCAATAGATTCTATGGCTTTCTAAGCATAATTTGAACTTGGTCCTTGAAGAAATCTTGTATATAACGCCATTTGTGATACGATGCAAAGAGAATCAATCTGAAACGATGAAGATTGAAAGAACTATGATCCTTGAAATTTGAACGAAATTCATGTGAGTTTAGGTCAAAGTCACAAAACTACCTCCAATATACTCAAACCTTTGATAGCCTTCTACACATAATTAGCTCTCGACTTGAAAAGAGAAATTGGAGATGATGTCAAGGAGATCATACGCTCGAAGAATCACTCAAAAATAACGAATAGTGAAGAATTTATGTTTATTTGAACTTGAACTTGCAAACGTTGACTTTCAGTCAACCAACTTTGAATCTACCTGCAGACTTTATCTTTTTCCACAACCTGAAGCACTCTTAATCACACATGGACTTGAAATAATGAATTCTTGATCAATCATGCCCACACTTGTCAGAACTCGAGATTACTCGTCGAAGAAGGCATGGAAATAAACACATGAACCTAACTCGAAGAGTCTTGAGAATTAAGCCACCAAACTCGCTTTAACTATGCTGGATGAAGCTTGAGGATAGTGTTGTCTAAGATTATAGATCACCACTATGAAACATAGGCTTTTGGGAACCATCTTTGGCCTGAACAAACCACAACCCTAACCGGAGAACCATCACCTAATTTTCTCGATCGGAAACCTTGTCTTCTAAAGGAAATAACATAAACAAGATATATATTTTTTACTTTGGTTAAAGACCAGTAAAATATAAAACATATATACACAATGATACAAAATTAGGGTGTTTGGTGATCCCTCAGAGACAAACTTAAAGATAAGAAATAGTATAAGTGATAATCAAACCCTAATGTGGGATCTTGTTGCATTGTGATGGTATGAGATGATAGAAGAATCTTAGGGGCAAAAATTGGGGTATAATGTAACACCCCAATTCTACCCGGAAATTATGAATGTAAATCAGAGTTTTAAAACTCATACAACTGAATCAAGATGCCACAAATTCAACTTAAAAACACATTGCATTCAACGTGGATACATAACACTTTAAAACTTCGGATGAACCATCAGCATAATAATTTAATCTCTTAATTCAACAACTTGAACATCTACGCAGCGGAATCACAATAACACCTTTGTCTAACAATTACAGCAACTTCAAAATAACACATACTTAGCAACAATCAAATTAAAGTTCAACAACTAGAACAATCACTAATTAAAAGCAACAAGCATTCATCCCCCCGAGTGTTACGTATCAGAGCAATGACACTGACTCGAACTACCGAAGGTATACTGCCTTCACTCCAGATTACCTGCACGTTACCAACATAAGGGTAACATTCAAACAAAAGGGGTGAGATATCTAACAATATAATAAAACGTATGATAAATAATATGTTAGATCAGCTCATATAATAACATCACTTCGCATCTTATAAACAACTGTAAATGTAAGGGAACATCAACGACATACAACATTACCGCATCCATGCACAACTTCTTTATGCAATCATATAATGCGACTCAATACTATGCAAATGCATGTGGTACCATTGGAGCAGAACTCTCATCTCAAAATAATTGCCAATAAATAGAGGCATCAACAAGGCATATAAGCCTTCATCTTAATATTCTCCAATACATGCCATCTTAATGAGCATTAGCTCCATCTTGATATGCAATGTATGCGGCACAATCATGAATGTAGTAACAACAACCATAATTAACAACATCTCAACACAACATCATCGTTGGCCAGAAGCCTACATCTTAATAGCTGTCAATTATTAGAGGCATTCCAACATCATTCATCAACATAATTTATCGCATAATTCATCAACATAATTTCATCAACATAAATCCACAGCAACTCAGCCATAACAACAATATAACGACATATCAACAATCCCTCAACGTTGGCCGTAGGCCTACAACATGATATTGCCTATAATTAATTAATCATCTAAGGCTTACATCTAGTTAACAAACCTCTACATATTATTATTCTATAATACTACATCATTATCATCATTAATTACTGTTAAGAACCAAGCAATAATCTATAATCATCTTATCCTCATCATACTTCACAAAATCATCATAATGATTAACGCGGGAAGCTAACTCTAATCCTAATTTGGGTACTAGGATTATTCTTCCTATCCTTAATTTTAATCCTCAAGAATGAAGTTCATCGCGTTAGCTATCCAACTCTTTAAACGACACCTCAAACAGAGTCTGGAAACTCAAGTTACATCCTTTGGAAACGAATCTGCCAAAAATCAGACTACATGGGTCGACGCATTAATGTTTTGAGTCGACGCGTACTGAGTTAAAATCTTGCATGAATCGATGCATACCCTCTTGTATCGACTCATACTGAGTCTGCAACATTAACCGTATCAATGCAAAGTCCTATGTATCGACTCATACTGAGTCCAAAAGCCTGTATGTGTCAACGCATGGCCTTTGAGGTCAACCCATAATGTTCTGTCACAAATATTTTATGCGATTTCACTGTGTTTTCACCATGATTTCCCTTCCTTAGGCCTTAAAAACATCCTCTAATCATAGGTAATCATCAATTATAATAATCCTATATTTCTACATCGATTATACAACATTAGGGCATCATTACTCATCTATAAATCATTGATCTTCATCATAGAACAATATATACATTTCAATCATAAACAAGACAACTTTTCCCATCTAATGCCACATACTACTCATCATAAACCCCATTATAGAGTCATAACCCCACCCTTACCTTAGATTGAAGGTTGCTCTACGACTTTTCCGATTGAATTTCGTTCTGCCTCTTTTCCTTCTTTTCTGCAACTTTCACGTTCTCTTCCAACCCTTATTAATTCTAAATAACTAGTATATTAACCATATAATTCTCATTATGTCTTAATGGACTTAAAACTCCTACACCCCCTTTCTACTACTTCTAGTCCTTAAAATAAGCCCACATCAAATAATATTATTATTCTAATATTATTCCACAACTTAATAGAATAAATAAATCCAATAACAATAACACATCAACTATCATCACAAAACAACTTCACAAATAATCCAAAAATAATTTAATTAAATAATTTATTAAATTACGGGCGTTACATATAACACCTGGTAACTTGGACACAAAATGCATTTAACCTCGACTAAAGAAGCGAGGTAACAAAGGGCGTCATGAAAAGTATCAATTTAACACCTTGGTTTTTAAAACATCGAGGCGAAAATTATTATGCACATGGGTTCGAACCCTGGCCACTGCACTTTTAATATTTTCAAAAGTAGCGCATAAAACTTCTTGGTTTATCAATAACATCGAGGGGTAAGATTGATATTTTTTTTAATCTCGTTATAACTACAGATTATTAATAAATTAATTGTTTACCCATAATATTACATTGTTTACACGGAATATTTTTGTATATATATATATATATATATATATATATATATATATATATATATATATATATATATATATATATATATATATATATATATATATATATATATATATATATATATATATATATATATATATATAACAAATTTGGAATTTGATTCATTGTCATTGTGATACGGTGGGAGAACTGACTTGAGGTTTTGCATTTCGTCGCAAATGTTTTGGTTTAGCAAGAGTCGCCATCGACTTTTATTTTATCCAAAAGGAAAGGTAAAAAAGCACAGGAAAGACCTTCGAGATGTTTTCTTGAGTTCGGGGGGTAGATTATGAAAAGGGAAGGTGCTAGCACCCTTTTCATCCATGGTTATCCATGGGCTCTTAGTTACTTGTTTAGATCACTTGCTTTGCTTTTCCTATTGTTTGAAATGGTGCTTTGTGTGGTTTTGAAAGTATTTTGAAAAGAGGCCATCGTTTGGGCAATCTTTGTAATGATTCTCATTCGTAAGAATGTATACAAAGATGTTTGTCTTTTGAAAAATGTTTCAATATTTTGAAAGTTGTTTGGAAATGTTTTGAAATGTGTGTGATTATTTTTGAAAATAGCAAGGATTTTTTGCAAATTGATCAAGTAACTAGGAGCATCTACCTACTCAAATGTCTTTCCTGCACATTTTTATTCCTTTGACATTGTTGATTTACCATTGATTTGGTAAACAACCCTATCTTTGGATGTTAAACGGGACGGGTGTGGGTCATCGTATGACCATAATAGCAATGTTGCCAAGTATCTTAGCTTGTTTGAGGGACCAAGATCATTTGTTTTTTAGGCAACCAAGTCTAGCGTCATCGAGGGACTATGATCTTTTGTTTTGTTTTGTTTTGCCAAGATACCTTGCATGCATACCATGGCCATTTTGTAAGGCAACCAAGTGGGTGAACCCTAGAGGTGCTTGTGTGTAATGTGTGTCATTTACATGCATTTTGTTTGTCTTGAATTAGGTCATGCTATTTGTTTGATTTTTGGTCTTTTCATGCAAACCCTAGTTTACTAGCATAGTATATAATGCGGTAAATTGCATAAAGTAAAGCTAAGCTATTACAACAATATTATGGGAGGGGGGATACAAGTTTTGAATGGGGGATATTGCTCAAAATAAAACCC